CATTCTGGGGACACCAGAGACTTGTAAAAAGGGGCATAATATGTCACCTTTAAGAATTTAGCACATGCATTTGAAACGCAATGATTTTTTTTTAAATAATCTTCATCATCATCACTGAGCCATCTGTCATTTTTCTGATTTACCACCTACCTTTGACCACCACTGATGAGCTGTAGTTCCCTAGGAAGCGGGTGTCAGTGCTGGGCGTGTAACACTCGTAACGGCCCTGATCATCTGGACGCAGCCTCTGGATGATCAGTCTGGCTTTGTCGCCCGAATCCCTCTCGACCCGAACCTCGCCGACCTGCACGCGACTCTGGAACGGCGCGTATGGAAAGCCTGCGTCCCGCGTGGACACCACACCGATCTGCCGACCCCCAGCATCCTCCCGGTATAGGTACCACTCGAAATCCTGCGTCCGTGGGCCTTCGTATCCTGAAACGGCGCAGGGCAGGGACAGCGAGAAACCTGCGACCCGATACAGCGGCCCGGCGGGAAGAGTGACCTCTCGGCACACGCAGAACTGCAACTCTAACACACAAACAGAACAAATGTTAATCAGTCTGGATGTGAACCACAGGGATCAAGCGGTTTTCCGAGTGAGGTTGAAAAATGAGCTCACACTGCACAATATTTCCACTCAAATGGGAATATTGTACAAAAAATTCTCCACACCTACTGAAGCACACGTGATGCTCGTGGTGTTTTCAGCATCTGTAGTCTCAATATATGAGGACATGAACATATGAACACACAAAACGATTATGAATTTTCATACTGTACATGTACAAGTGTTTCTTCATCTTTGGCCACTTTTGTCCTCGTGGACTTTTACTAAATAAACTGCATATCTTCTAGTTAGCATTTGATGCATCCTAAATGCAAGCTTCAAAAAATACTTTCACATTTTCTGCATAATTGCACCAAATTACAGCTTGATTGGAAATGGCACACAATAAAAATAGTGATATTTACCTTGATTTTTTAAAAATATTTTATCTCAATCTCTTCGTAAACTAGTTTTAGAAAATTAAAAATGTAATAGGCCAGAATGGTTGGCTATGATGAAAATGATGCAATTTAGCTATTTTTATAATTGATATAAAAATGTATTTTCTATAATTGAATCTGGACTGATACAGGTGTTGTATGTTGTGATGTTGATCATGGTTTTATTTCTGGTAAAGCACGTCAACTTCGGTTGTTTTATTGGTGCCTTACAAATAAAAGAACAAATCATTTTTATACAGTTGGGATCAATACATGCAAAGCAGTTTTCAATGAGATCGATAAATTAGTACACGCTGCAGTCGGTATCGGCCCCAAAAAACCCATATCGGTCGGGCTCTAGTTTTTTATCCAGTCAAAGCTCTTTTAGTATAATTGTACAAACGTCCAGCTTCTACTGGAGCTTCTCGTGTCAAATCTTGACTGATTTTTATCAAGTAAGCGTCAGATGTTGTAATGCGTCTCTGAATGAAAGGGTCTGAATAATGAACAGTAATCCCATTCTGCCAGTCTACGCCCATGTTTTACAACATGTGAGGTCACAGCTGAACTCATCGTTTTAATAGGGTCATTTTGCAGACCTGTCTGAGGGTTATTTACATCCTCATTCTGCTAAAGTAACCAGAAATAAACCAGACACTCTTAACCATATAATGCTACTGCATTACATTTGAAGAAGCTTCTCGTGTCAAATCTTGACTGATTTTGATCAAGTAAAGGTCAGAATAACTGCAGTAATATCTCCAGATGAACACTTACTGCACTGAAGCAGCTCAGCTTTACTTGATTCTCCATCAATCATGTTTTAGAGTCTCAAATCTGATCCTCAGGATCTTTTGAGGAGCGTTTGTTTCCAGAAGCTTTACTTTCACTGTTCCTCAGCGGAGGAATGATCTTCACAAGCCTCCAGAACATCTCACATCTTCTGAGGAGCCTTTATTTCTTCAGCTCTCAATCAGTACTGGATTGCATTGCATTATATGTTAAATCTCATTTTATGAAGAAATATTATTTAAATTACAAAAAAATACGTTTGTGTAATAAACTTTTTAATCCAATGCAAAACTCTCCCCAGGGTTAGTGAGCTGTCTGTGCGACTCAGTGTTTGAAATTTGATTGTGAACGCAGATATGTAAACTATTTCAGATAAACTAAGCTATTGTGATGCGGTTGAGTGTTGACATACAGTAAGTATGATGTCACCCTCCTGTTTAACCACGACCGGTGTTGACAGGTTTCCAACACAAACATTTACCAAAGTTTAAATGGTTTCTCCCAAAATATCTACTATAACCACTATTTAATTTAGCAAGAAATCTGATGTATTTCTGGTTTACGGTTATGACAGTTCTTAACAATAACTGTATTTTGTTGTGTGGGATTTTGGTGGAAACTACGGGCATTTCTGTAAGCGTTTTCTGGCCGGCATCAGGCTCTTCTGGCAGGTCAGTCTAGTTTCTAGTTTCGGTGACTCGTGGGAAGTGACCACACACAACCTCCGATAATGACCAGAGAACAGAAGCTGTAAGCGGATCAGACGCGTGATTAAAGCGCAACCAGAGCAGCAGGCCAGTGGAAATCCTGCACAGCTTATGCGTACATTATGATGCCATTATTGCACTGTGCGGAAATGAAGGGATCGCAGTACTGTATAAAACTACGGTGCTTTCCTGTTGCTCAAACACTAGCAAAGCCAAGGTCATGGGTTCGATTCCCAGGGAAAGCCTTAAATGCAATATAAGTTGCTTTGGATAAAAGCATCTGCCAAATGCATAATATAAAACACTGTATAAAGCTCCTGTGACAATGCCAACATGAAGTAAAGGGTCAAATATGTGTCTGAACACAAAGTTTCAATCTCTCAAATATTGGAAATGAACTAAATCTAGACACCGGACCAATGCATTGTACACAAAAAGCACTGTATCAGATGTAAATACCAAAGTACATTGATATCCATGGCACTGAAAGACCAAAGCACAATGTATTTACATGGTAAACCACGGTACTTCCCTAAAATGTGTTCCAGTAGAGTATGGCGCCAGCAACACCAAGGTTGTGGGTTCGATTCCCATGCATACCGCATGAACTGATTAAAATATAGCTTTGGATAAAAGCCTCTGCCAAAAATACAAATGCAAAACAACATGGTACGTTTTTGTAAGTATGCTACTCTCATGACATATCCCAAAACACTGAAATATAGCTTTGAGTGATTACCATATTCCTATACCATGGTATTTACATACCATAGACAACTTCCATATATATAACTAAATACGTACTACAGCTTAATATTAACAATAATGTAAGTGCATGAATATTCCACTATGGTAACGCGTTATAAATGGCATTATTGTACCATTTCCAAAAAGCATGGTAGTACATTGGAGGATTGGCGTGGATTATATGGAGCAGATGGACATTAAACACGAGCAGGTTGGACTCACCCCACAGCAAAGCGATGAACGCGATGCACCGCGACGCCATTGCGCTCTGATCCCCGCAACACACTCGCGTTTACACCGTTTTACTCTAGTAAGACAGTACTGAAAGTAGTGCGTGACGTCACGGGCTAACAAGCAGACCGATCACTGTCCAATGACGTGACGCAGCGCGGACGAACACAGCCAATGGGAGACCAGTGTGATGAGCCGCTTGAAGACGTGCGGATGGATGTAGGTAAGTCCCTCCACTGATAATAATTATCATAATTATGATAATAACGGGTTTCAATCAAACACAACATATGTAATTAGGCTATTATATACAGTTAATTCCCATTACCATTTGTTTATTAACTTATATAATTATCTGTGTTTCCTTAATTTATTCAGTTACCTCACCTTATTTGTTTTTTTCTATTTTCTTTACTGTACTTTGGGCAAAATTATAAATCATGTCAATATAGCTTTCTTTACTCTGCTTCATTCCTCTAGGGGGCGCCATATTTAAATCAAAACAATAATTTACTTACAACTAAATAATTAGACTGGGAAACTTTAATAGTTTTTATTTAACCATGAATGCTTTATTTGGAGTAAATTGAACTGAATATAGTTACATTAATTGTACCTGTAGTAATGAAAAGAACATTTGGACTCAGAACTGAATCAGTAATCATCATTATTATCTAAATGTGATTCTAAAATGAATCAAAGTTATATACTTGACATTTAATTCCAATATTTTATTGTACATGTCTTTTTTTTAATAAACTGCTTCCCAAATACACATCTATGGCTCTATCTAGTGGAGAAACAACAATTTTCTCATTAACAGACAAAACTTCAACCTCTGCTTTGTATTGTTTACAAAAGTGTCTCTGTCCAGTGTTAGTAAATTAGTGGTTTATATTTAGATGACGCAATGTTTTGACTAGAACTTAAACCGAGCTTAATGTGTGAATAGCCTAAAGAAGTTAGCTGAGCCCACTCATATATATTGTTCATAATTAGTGTTAGTGATTTTAACAGATATTAAAAAAAACAAAAAAACAAGAAGGAGACGTGGTATTACTTTTATAATATTGTTTTAAAGGTGTAAAATCTCCACAGATTTACATTAAAGGTGAGATCCTAATGGTCACATCACAGAACGTTGGGTCTTTTTGATAAGGTAAGCAACCAATCAGAACACCTCAACAACCGCATGGCAACACGCGGAAACCAACCAGAACACCCCAACGACCGCATGGCAACGCGCGGAAACCAATCAGAACACCCCAACAACCGTATGGCAACACGCGGAAACCAACCAGAACACCCCAACGACCGCATGGCAACGCGCGGAAACCAATCAGAACACCCCAACAACCGTATGGCAACACGCGGAAACCAACCAGAACACCCCAACGACCGCATGGCAACGCGCGGAAACCAATCAGAACACCCCAACAACCGTATGGCAACACGCGGAAACCAACCAGAACACCCCAACGACCGCATGGCAACGCGCGGAAACCAATCAGAACACCCCAACAACCGTATGGCAACACGCGGAAACCAACCAGAACACCCCAACGACCGCATGGCAACGCGCGGAAACCAATCAGAACACCCCAACAACCGTATGGCAACACGCGGAAACCAACCAGAACACCCCAACGACCGCATGGCAACGCGCGGAAACCAATCAGAACACCCCAACAACCGTATGGCAACACGCGGAAACCAACCAGAACACCCCAACGACCGCATGGCAACGCGCGGAAACCAATCAGAACACCCCAACAACCGTATGGCAACACGCGGAAACCAACCAGAACACCCCAACGACCGCATGGCAACGCGCGGAAACCAATCAGAACACCCCAACAACCGTATGGCAACACGCGGAAACCAACCAGAACACCCCAACGACCGCATGGCAACGCGCGGAAACCAATCAGAACACCCCAACAACCGTATGGCAACACGCGGAAACCAACCAGAACACCCCAACGACCGCATGGCAACGCGCGGAAACCAATCAGAACACCCCAACAACCGTATGGCAACACGCGGAAACCAACCAGAACACCCCAACGACCGCATGGCAACGCGCGGAAACCAATCAGAACACCCCAACAACCGTATGGCAACACGCGGAAACCAACCAGAACACCCCAACGACCGCATGGCAACGCGCGGAAACCAATCAGAACACCCCAACAACCGTATGGCAACACGCGGAAACCAACCAGAACACCCCAACGACCGCATGGCAACGCGCGGAAACCAATCAGAACACCTCAACAACCGCATGGCAAGGCGCGAAAACCAATCAGAACCCCCCAACAACCGCATAGCAACGCGCTGAAAGCCCTTCAGCAAAGCATCTTAGCCAATCACAACCAGAGCTGGAACTGAGGAATGCGGAAGTAACGTGTGTCATGGAGCAGCCAGAGTTCCAAACAATCATGTTTATGTTCATTTTATGTTTTGTTGTTGGTGTTATTATTCTGTTTTACATGCTTTAAACGGTACAACATTGCCTTATGTTTGCCTCGTACTTGTATGTGATATGAACTATGTATGTGAACTATATACGTATGTGAACTAAATAAACAAAATAAAAATAAATAAATAATAGTTCCAAACAACCAATAGTTCCAGGATTGAATTATGGAACATAATTATTGCACATATTATTTAGTACCAAAAATGTCCTAAAAATATGAACTAAATAGAGCTGATCTAAAATATAATTCATTTTTTAATCGATTAAAAGCAACGCGCTGAAAGCCCTTCAGCAAAGCATCTTAGCCAATCACAACCAGAGCTGGAACTGAGGAATGCGGAAGTAACGTGTGTCATGGAGCAGCCAGAGTTCCAAACAATCATGTTTATGTTCATTTTATGTTTTGTTGTTGGTGTTATTATTCTGTTTTACATGCTTTAAACGGTACAACATTGCCTTATGTTTGCCTCGTACTTGTATGTGATATGAACTATGTATGTGAACTATATACGTATGTGAACTAAATAAACAAAATAAAAATAAATAAATAATAGTTCCAAACAACCAATAGTTCCAGGATTGAATTATGGAACATAATTATTGCACGTATTATTTAGTACCAAAAATTTCCTAAAAATATGAACTAAATAGAGCTGATCTAAAATATAATTCATTATTTAATCGATTAAAAGTTACACTTAAGGTGTTTGGTCACATTTGACTGCCAAGGAGTATGAGAACATATCAGTAATGCTCTCTTTATCACTCCCCTGAATAAAATGCTTCTGTAAAGCGCAGTCAGCGCTCAGTTTTAAATGCACATTATGTGCTAATAATTACTAGAAATTGCTGCAAATATTGTGAAACTGCTGTCTGTCCCAATTAAACCCATTCAGACAGACTGACAGCACAAAGTTGTTTGGAACCATTGAGAGCTCCAAGCATAATAGAGCAGATTTTCTTCAGGAAACGCACATTATTTATATTTTATTGTTTATTTTAGATATTACATTTTTTGAAAGTAAAGTGTTTGTTGTTTCTGTCTTTATTTATGTGCAGCTCACATGTCTCCTCAGCGGGGCAGCATTGTGTTTCATCTTGACCTGCCCTCATATGAAATGACTGCTAAACCAACTTTTTATCATTGGCTATTATTTTAATCTCACTACAACATGGTGCACGCATCGAAATAAACATCAATTCTGCTTAATTAAATATTTACACAGAGTAAACTTTTAATTTAACTCATCATAATCTTTTTGTCGACTACAATGAATCCCTTAGGGTTCTAAACAATGAAGTTATAATGTGTGTTAGAGCAGAAAAATGCATTTAAATTTCTTCACAAAGAGCTCCTGCGTATAAATCTTTGGCTGTAGCAGTGCCATACCATCTCATTTATCAAACTTTAATCTGAGCATTTGATGAGCTGTTCGCTGCCGTCTGAATTATTAATGTAATTGCCATTGCTGAATGACTTTACTATGAACCACCACTGCAGGCAATTTATTTAATCAAATCTCCATTGAGCCCACAACACGCACACACACACACTCACACACACACACACACACACACACACAAACAGCAGTCTTGGCCCCGTCTGTAGATTCGATTCTGTGGCTTCACCAGGAGCCAAAATCATCAGCAGATTCTGTGTATCTTATAAGAAGTCGAGTAAAGTTATATGAACAATTTTTTCCTTCCCCCAATCTGCTGTGTTTCCTTTTTTGTGTGTGTTTTGATCCCGGCTCTTGCGGCGGGCCGCTCTGTGGTGAGGCGCGGGCTGGAGTGGCGCTGCTGTGTTATTTCTGGCAGCTGTGGCGGTTGGTGGCTCTAGAGACGGAGTGGAGCATTCCGGATCCAAACCCAGGCTGTTTAAGGGAATTCTCATCTATGGGCTCACACTAACGGCAGGATGAGCCGCGTGTTAATTTCAGCACGTCCCTCCATACATGCATCTGACATGCATCATGCTACACGAATGCTGGAGACCAAACCTTCTTCTTCTTCTTAAAGAAGAAACTAAACATTATTTCAGACTGGGTGGAACTGAAATATTTTAGTATAATTGATATACTCTTTCCCCCGGTTTCACAGAAATCTTGGCCCCGTCTGTAGATTCGATTCTGTGGCTTCACCAGGAGCCAAAATCATCAGCAGATTCTGTGTAACTTATAAGAAGTCGAGTAAAGTTATATGAACAATTTTTTCCTTCCCCCAATCTGCTGTGTTTCCTTTTTTGTGTGTGTTTTGATCCCGGCTCTTGCGGCGGGCCGCTCTGTGGTGAGGCGCGGGCTGGAGTGGCGCTGCTGTGTTATTTCTGGCAGCTGTGGCGGTTGGTGGCTCTAGAGACGGAGTGGAGCATTCCGGATCCAAACCCAGGCTGTTTAAGGGAATTCTCATCTGTAATGATCAGCGTCATTATGGGCTCACACTAACGGCAGGATGAGCCGCGTGTTAATTTCAGCACGTCCCTCCATACATGCATCTGACATGCATTATGCTACACGAATGCTGGAGACCAAACCTTCTTCTTCTTCTTAAAGAAGAAACGAAACATTATTTCAGACTGGGTGGAACTGAAATATTTTAGTATAATTGATAT